GAATTTGAAAAACGAAATTTGCATTTAAAAGTTGCGAATTTACATCGAAAGAGACATTTACATTTAAAGGTTCGCGATTTGCATTTAAAATCGAGTTAATTTAAAATTTGGATTCACCAAAAAGCAAATTTGCATCTAAAAAGCGAATTTGTCTTCAAAAAATTGGCAATTTACATTGAAAACGGAATTTACACTTAAAAATAGTTAATTTTGCATTTAAAAGTCGACGATTTCCACTTAAAAATCGCAATTTGCATTTAAAATTGGAAATTTGCATTTAAAATTGGAAATTTGCATTTAAAAATCGCAATCTGCCATTAAAAATCGCAATTTGCATTTAAAATCGAGCAATTTGCATTTAAAAATCGCAATTTGCATTTAAAATTGGAAATTTGCATTTAAAAATCGCAATTTGAATTTAAAAATCGCAATTTGCATATAAAAATCGCAATTTGCATTTAAAAATCGCAATTTGCATATAAAAATCGCAATTTGCCATTAAAAATCGCAATTTGCATTTAAAAATCGCAATTTCCGTTTAAAAATCGCCATTTACATTTAAAAATCGCAATTTGCATTTAAAATTGGGAATTCACATCGAAAAACTCAATTTACATCGAAAAACCCCATTTACACTTAAAAATTGTCAATTTTCGACCTTAAAAATCGACGATCTGGAACGCACAACGCGTTCTCGTTTATGAAAAAACTCAAAATCTTTACGTCTCCGACATCGAGTTTTCAACAATCCATAAATTTTTGTAATTTGCATAAATTTTATTGATTCCATTGAACATTGATGGATCCCAGATAAGCCTCCGATCTTCCCAGACCTAAAATCTAACTTAAACTCTTTCATTTCCCAAGCTATACTTACATAAATAATCTCGAGAAGCACGCCAAGTTTTTCGGTGTCTTCTGCCTGAAAGAATCATTGGTTCAATTGTCCAATTTTGATTAACGATTAAAAAGATGACTAAAAGCTGCTTGTTTATCTCTTGTGAGCTCCAGATGCGTTAAAAATTAGCATCAAAAGGCGATAGAGTTAGAATACGGTAACTACGAGGTCCAAAGCAGTTTCTTCAATACTCAATTTTTCTCAACTAGTAAAAAGCTGTCTAAAAGTTGCTTATTGATCTTGTGTGCATTCCAGATTAGCTGAAAATTAGTATCAAAAAGAGATAGAGTTAGAATACGAACACTACAATGCACGAGCTCGTTTCTTCGTTCCCAATTTTTCTTAACTAGTAAAAAACTGTCTAAAAGCTGCTTATTTATCTCTTGTGAGCTCCAGATACGCTAAAAATTAGTAGCACAAGGCGATAGTGTTAGAATACGGTAACTATGAGGCTCAAAGCCGTTGCTTTAATACCCAATTTTGATTAACGATTAAAAAGATGTCTAAAACCTGCTTATTTATCTTATGTGCATTCCAGATTAGCTAAAAATTCGCATCACAAGACGATAGAGTTAGACTACGGTAACTAAAATGCACGAGATCGTTCCTTCATTAAGCGGCTTCTTAAAAAGCGTTCATACTTCACCTCTAAGTGAGTCAGTGTTCAAATTTTCAATCGAAATCAATCTCAATCGATTTCGCTGCCGTTTCCTCACAATTAGATGCTTTTTTTTGAATACAGAAAACGAAAAACACTCACAATTGCGATAACTTTTGCGAAATTTAATCGAATATCGACATTAAAGCGACGAACCGAGCTTGAATTCTCTAAAATTTCGAAAATTTTCAATCATTTCTTATAACAAACGTTGCTTTGTGTAGATTGGAGCCAATGTTTTATCGTATTTTCTTTGAATAAACAATTCTTCATGGAGTTCATCGAGATCACGCAGAAAACTCGCGTATTCAACTGAAATTTGAAAAAAAATCTTTGCGCCAAAGCTATTTCTGGAAGTCACACCTGCTAATGAATCTACAGGTGGCGCCAAAAATTCCCATACTTGTATTTTCTGCATTTTTGATAATTTTAGATAAAAGATACGATTTTAAAAGTAAGAAATTCGAATTCCTCGCGAAAAACTGATTTCCAAAATTTCTCTGGTTAATTTAGAAGTGCAACGCTGTTTAGGACAAGTGATTGAGAAGAGGGTTTGCTCAGGGGTGCTTTGGTCGTAGAGTTACAGGCAGTTACAGGTAGTTACAGGTAGTTACAGGTAGTTACAGGTAGTTACAGGTAGTTACAGGTAGTTACAGGCAGTTACAGGGCAGTTACAGGGCACAGTTACTAGGCATAGTACAGGGCATAGTACAGGGCATAGTACAGGGCATAGTACAGGGCATAATACAGGGGATAGTACAGGGTACAGTACAGGGTACAGGACAGGGTACAGGACAGGGTACAGTACAGAACACAGTACAGGGCACAGCACAGAGCATAGTACAGGGCACAGTTACAGGGCACGGCTACAGGGCACAGTGACAATGATTTCCTTTGATGGAAAATTGTATAGAGAAACTAAGTCCTAACCCCGAATCGATCGTTGACCAAAACTTGATACACTCAATATAAAAAATGTCACATTGTCTAGTTTTCAAAAAACATCTTGGCTCTTGAAATTCAATTGTTGATTTTTTGTGAAAATTGCTAGAAGAGCACAGTGCAGGCTTGGCAGCTGATAATATTAAAAAGATATATGGGGAGGATTGACCTTCCGAAAGAACGTGTCGAGTATGGTTTGCCGAGTTTCGATCTGGGGACAAACCTTTGAAAGATGCAGAGGGCCGTGGAGCGGCACCGGAACTGGATAAAAAAATTCCGAAAATATTCAAGTCAACTAAGCTGTTTTAAGCCCCGTTAAGCCTAGTTAAGCCCTGTTAAACCAAGGTTACAGGCCTGAAGCCGCAAAAAAATGTGGGACCAAAGCGCCCCTGAGCGGACCCTCTTTTAAGAAAATCGATATTTGGTCAAGTGTGAGAGTTTGAGCGCTTGTAGACGCTTGTAGACTCTTGTAGACTCTTGTAGACTCTTGTAGACGCTTGTAGACGCTTGTAGACGCTTGTAGACTCTTGTAGACGCTTGTAGACTCTTGTAGACTCTTGTAGACGCTTGTAGACTCTTGTAGACTCTTGTAGACGCTTGTAGACTCTTGTAGACTCTTTTAGACTCTTGTAGACTCTTTTAGACTCTTGTAGACTCTTGTAAACGCACCGTTTCTAGTGCATTCCAATTCGTAATTTTCTTATGGAAACGAAGTTAGAAAGATTGTGTTTATTAGAAAAAAAAAGCTTTTACCAATTTCATCATTTTCCTCAACAATTGTCACATTTTCCATAAAAATTTTTGAAAAAAAGAAAATTAAATAAAAAAATTGTAATTTCATTCGAATTTTATTAAAGAAATAACTTGAAAATTCTAGATTTTCGAGAAAAATTCCAATTAAACAATTGAATTTTCTTCTTTTTTAAGAGCTTTTTAAGAGCTTTTCAAGTGAATGGATCGGTTTACTTTGCTTTTTTAGAAATAGCTTTCTAGTTACCGTATTCTAACTCTATCGCCTTGCGACACTAATTTTTAGCTGATCTGGAATGCACACAAGATAAACAAGCAACTTTTAGACAGCTTTTTACTAGTTGAGAAAAATTGGGTATTGAAGAAACGAGCTCGTGCATTGTAGTGTCCGTATTCTAACTCTATCGCTTTTTGATGCTAATTTTTAGCTGATCTGGAGCTCACAAGAGATTAATAAGCAACTTTTAGACAGCTTTTTACTAGTTGAGAAAAATTGGATATGGAAGAAACGGCTTTGGGCCTCGTAGTTACCGTATTCTAACTCTATCGTCTTGTGCTACTAATTTTTAGCTGATCTGGAGCTCACAAGATAAATAAACAGCTTTTAGACAGCTTTTTACTAGTTGAGTCTAGTTGAGCTTTTCAAGTGAATGGATCGGTTTACTTAGCTATTTTTTAAAAAAAAGAATTGGAAAGAAAGAGAAATGGATAAAGCTGTAAGAATTGTTTTGAAATTGATTTAAATCATTTATCTTGACTTTAGTATTAAACAATAGACAGAAGAAGCAAAGAAAGTCTTGGCTTAGTTCGATTACCAATGCTAGATTGGCAGCTAGATTGGCTGCTAGATGGCAGCTAGATTGGTAGCTAGATTGGTAGCTAGATTGGTAGCTAGATTGCAGCTAGATGGCAGCTAGATTGGTAGCTAGATTGGCAGCTAGATTAGCAGCTAAATTGAGATCAAAGCCCGTATGCTAGCTAGCCGTAGCTCCGTCAAAAGTTCTGGCAATGCCTTTACGTGTTTACAGCATCGTCTTTACGGCACAACAGATCTTTCCAGTAAAACTTCGATAGTTTTCCCGCGGATCTTAACCAAATCTTTATTATATATAAACCAAAGCTGAACCAAACCTTTATTATACATCTTTTTTCACTTTTTTTGAATACTCCTCGAAAATCTTCATTCTACCGTAACCCAAACGTATCCTATAGGCATATTGTAGTGTAGCCAGGGTAAACTTAAATTTAGACAATCGAAGTCTTCATTCTGGAAGTCACAGCAACTAGTGGATAAGTTTTGAATGACGTTTTCCAGTCCTAAAAAATGCACCCATTCTACCGTAATCTAAAGGTAGCCTATAGACTACCGTAGCCAAGGTAATTTTAAATTCGGCCAATCAAAATCATCATTCTGGAAGTCACAGCAACTAGTGGATAAGTTTTGGATGGTTTTCCAGTCCTAAAAAATGCAGCCATTCTACCGTAACCTAAAGGTAGCCTATAAACTACTGTAGCTAAGGTGTCTTTAAATTTAGACAATCGAAATCATCATTCTGGAAGTCACAGCAACTCGTGGATAAGTTTCGAATGCAGTTTTCCAAAAAAAACGGAATGGAAAAATGCACCCATTCTACCGTACCCTAGTCTTTCCCGAGAAAAGGCGGGGCTTTGGGGGAAAACCAGCCAGTGTACGACACGTTGGTCAGCCACTTTGAAATTAACCTATTTTCTCTAAATTGATATGTTTCTATGATGAAAACTTTATATTTCCAATTTTTCCTCCTTTTCCTTTCTCCAATCGAGTCAGCTGGACCGGGAAAAGTCGCTTCAAAACCGTCGAAATTGTGTGCTGATGAGAAATGCACAGGTAAAATCAACAAAATTTTACATCCAAATTCTAAGTTGACATCCAGATCGGCTAGAAATCTGTGCGAAAATCGGATATAATGCTTTCAGGGGAAATTTTGGGGTAGAACTCTTTCCAACGAAGTTTCTCTCTAATCACTACATCATTTACGCATTTTGATCAATTTTTTAGCTGATCTGGAGCGCACAAGAAATAAATATTGAAATTTTATTAGCTTTTTTACTATTTGAGAAAATTGGGTAACCGAGTACGACAGTAGACTATAACCAGACAGAAAAACTCTGACCTAGACTTAAAATTTTACATTCAAAATCTAAGTTGGCATCCAGATCGGCTAGAAATCTGTGCGAAAATCGGATATAATGTTTCCATGCGAAATTTTTAGGTAGAACTCTTTCCATCGAAGTTTCTCTCTAATCACTACATCATTTACGCATTTTAATCAATTTTTTAGCTGATCTGGAGCGCACAAGAGATAAATATGTAAATTTTATTAGCTTTTCTACTATTTGAGAAAATTGGGTAATTGAACCGGCCAAGCAGAGCTGTAAATGCTTGTTTGTTATTGGAATTTATTAAAAAACGATTTTCAGTCCCTCTATTCACCTCAAAAGTCACCAGAGCTTTGCCGAATTTTCACGAGCAATTTCTAAATGGACTCAAAGAAAGCGATGAGGTTCAAATTGTCGCTTTCAAGTTCAGCAATCGACCGGACATGATGGAGGCTATTGTAAGTTGAATTTTTTCGAAAAGTTTTGATCTCAAAATCTAAGTTGCCTTCCAGATTGATGAAATAATATAAAAAAAATTGAAATAAACAGTTTTTTGATGGTTTTCTCTAGCAGCAACTCTCTCACGTTGTTTTCTTTTAAACAGAGCTTTTGTTTTTGAAGTTTTATCAACTTTTTTGGCTTATCTGGAACGCACATTAGAATATAGAATGAATAAATTTACATTTAAACCATTTTAGACAGTTGATGGACAGCGCGGGTTTATTCTTGATGGAATGATCCAGCGCTCCCCGTTCGCCGGTTTCCTTAAAAAAGCGATCGATGGCCAATTCGAGTTGAAAGTGATCAGCCAGGACAATAAGGATATCGGAGAGAAAAGGGTTTTAGGTGAGTTTCCAAGAATATAAGAGCTTTTTTGCACTAAATTCGACTACGGTAGCTATCCTAGCTAGTGTAGGCTAGAATTGTAAACTTTAAGCAATTTCATCGACTTTTACTGCTAAGCTGGAGCGCACACTAGTCAAATAGTCAAATTTCAACATCCCAAAGACCTTTTTCAATTCCAGACACCGTACTCCCGTACTTGTCTTGACCGTACACCCGCTAGCGTGCATGATTATGCAAATTTATCGAATTCTAAAGCTAAGCTGGAGCGCACACTAGTCAAATAGTCAAATTTCAACATCCCAAAGACCTTTTTCAATTCCAGACACCGTACTCCCGTACTTGTCTTGACCGTACACCCGCTAGCGTGCATGATTATGCAAATTTATCGAATTCTAAAGCTAAGCTGGAGCGCACACTAGTCAAATAGTCAAATTTCAACATCCCAAAGACCTTTTTCAATTCCAGACACCGTACTCCCGTACTTGTCTTGACCGTACACCCGCTAGCGTGCATGATTATGCAAATTTATTGAATTCTAAGGCTAAGCTGGAGCGCACATCAGTTAAATATTGATGTTTAATCGACAAAAGAGGATTTGTTCATTTCCAGGCACCGTACTCGCGCATCTCGACCTAATTCGGGACTACAATGTGGCGGCGAAACGAGCGGCGGCTGAATTGGGCGCTGAGCCTCCCCCAGAGTTGCCCGTACCCGAGATTCAACCGAAAGGACACACCCATTCACATTCGCATTCACACGATGCAGGACATGGGCATTCACATGGCGGAAATGATCACTCACATGAAGGACATGGACATAGGTAATTCGATGAGCCTTGCTGTTGCTGCTGCTGCTGCAATTGCCTTGCTGCTGTTGCTGCAATTGGATGAGCTCGTGATCAACGTTTTCCTCAAGTAGACAATTTAGAAGATTGTAATCTTTCCTTCAGATTTTTCTAATCGAATAGAGACGACGGAAAGATTACCCTAAAGTCGCGAGTATAAGTTCTGTTTGGTTTTCGCATGCAAATTGACGGCTGCCTCCGGTGCGGTGTGTCGAAGGTTCGAACCCCGCTGCAGCATAACTTTTTAAGAACAATAATAGAAGTAAATTTATTGAGGGTTATAGCAATTTTATGCTGTTATTTGTTGCCCCGGGCGTGGCTCGGCGCGTCCGCCCTGCTCCTCTCCGGTGCTCAGTCTTATGGATCCCTCCCGGGCCTCTTCATTAAGGCACAACTTATACTCGAGACTTTAGGGTACAATAGTTTTCCAAATTGTTTACTTTTTTCGAAAACATTTTTAAAATCCTTTGCCTCGTCTCTAGGAAAACACCGCTATTATGACTAGTTTGATTATACTTATTTAACAAAGTTTGCATCCTGGAACGCACACTATACAATGAACAAGTTTTGGATACACTTTGCTCGCGGGAAAACACATCCTTTCTAGTGCACGAAGGAGTTCTCTAAGAAAACATCGCTATTATGATTTCTTTTACTATACTTATCTAACAAAGTTTTCATCCTGGAAGTCACACTATTTAATGGATAAGTTTCAGGCGTACTTTGTGCTAATGGAAACTCATCCTTTCTAGTGCGCGAAGGAGTTCTCTAAGAAATCATCGCTAGAATGGCTACTTTTGCTATACTTATCTAACAAAGTTTGTATTCTGGAAGGCACACTATATAATGAACAAGTTTTGGATGCACTTTGCGCTAAATGGAAACGCACCTTTTCTGGCGCTCACTGCTGTGTAAGAAGTTTCGAGATTTCACTGTGCCAATGTACAAAACTAACCGATTCGTAAGCTTTTGCATATTCTCCATCATCGTAGAATTGTAAATTACACGTGAGATTCTCAGCATACCATTCAGGGAGGGAGGGAGGGAGGGAGGGTATTAATCGCGGCCGGGTGACGATAAAAAATTTTTTACGGCAACCACCTGTTTTTTTATTTTAATATCGCTGATTTTATTATAAAAAGAATAAAAATCACCCGGCTAGAGTGATTTGATGGGTTTACAAATTTTTGGAGACACTGCAAGGCTTGGAGAAAAGCAAGATCGTCAGAAAAACTTGGAGAAACTTGGCTTGGAGAAAAACAAGATCGTCACTCATCAGACACCTCAGCACAGTCTAGATCGATTGAGTTTTAATTGCAGATAAATTTAAAAACAAAATAAAAAGCACAAAAAAACAATAAAAATAGATTTGGTAATCTATAATTCTTCCTCTTGCTCACTTTCATCTTCGCTCGAGTACAGCAGTTCCTCAAATCGGCCTCCTATCTTATCAATTTCCCGCGCATCTTCACCAGAAGTGACTGGATCTCCTCCATCGTAGGACGTCCTCAGCGCTTTGCTTGACACAATTAGATCTTTTTTTCCATTTGTGGTCGCTTGTGGTTTTAGTTTTCTCAAATAGGTGCCTTTTAGCTGAGGTGTCTGATGAGTGACGATCTTGTTTTTCTCCAAGCCTTGCAGTGTCTCCAAAAATTTGTAAACCCATCAAATCACTCTAGCCGGGTGATTTTTATTCTTTTTATAATAAAATCAGCGATATTAAAATAAAAAAACAGGTGGTTGCCGTAAAAAAATTTTTATCGTCACCCGGCCGCGATTAATACCCCCCTTTAAAGCATTCGCTAATTCATCAAGTGAATAACTTTTGATTGATTAATTAGTCATTGAACTTAAAAACTTCTAATAAGCAAGAATAATCAAATCTTAAAAATAATAAAAGAAAAACGTGGTAAGCTAAGTAGGGAATTGCAAATAAACCTGCAAATAAATCTTTTCATTAAATGGAAAGCGGTAGAAAATTGGATGGCCGTATATTAGAGAGTCTATTAGAAAGCCGTAAGAAAGAAAGCCTCAAAGCCGTACTCAAATTTCAGTCATGAACCCGGTCATTCGCATGATGAATCACATGGACATTCACATGGATCACTCGACGCTGCGGCTGGAGGCTTCAACAAGTTGTCTATTGGTAAGTCAGGTTAGAAGCCGGGCCTAGACTGAAGGCTGACTTCGTGCCTAGACTGGCTTCTTGCCTAGACTGGCTTCTTGCCTAGACTGGCTTCTTACCTAGACTGGCTTCTTGCCTAGACTGGCTTCTTGCCTAGTCTGGCTTCTTACCTAGTCTGGCTTCTTACCTAGACTGGCTTCTTGCCTAGGCTGGCTTGACTTGATCAAAGGAAATTGGGAAGCTCTGGCTGAAAACCTGTATAGTCTTGACATAACCTGCCTGATTGCCTGCCAGATTTTAAGTAGTAAACACCTTTGATAACCTAATTGTTTAGATCCACCTCAACCGCCTACAACTGAACCACCAGTCGAACCACCTCAACCGCCTACAACTGAACCACCTCAACCGCCAGTCGAACAACCAAAGGAGGTGATTGAGGAGAAAAAAGTCGAGTTGGCAGAAAACAGCACCACCCCGACACCGGCACCGACACCGACACCGACACAACCCGTTCAACCACCAATCGCTCACTCACCACCACCGATTGTTGATGGGAATTCGATTGTTGATGATGTAAAGGTGAAAATCGATTGGATTTTTGTATTCTAAACTTGAAACAGAGTTGGGTAATGAAAACGGACAGAAATAGTATTTCTAGCTTATCCATTTGATAGTGTGCGTTCCAGAATGCAACTTTGATTAAATGACTATAGCAATATTCAATATAAGAAGCGAAATTTAAGGGGGAACTTTTGTGTACACAGGTTGGGTAATTAAACCGGACAGAAAGATCACTTCTAGCTTATCCATTTGATAGTGTGCGTTCCAGAATGCAACTTTTATTAGATGACTATAGTAAGATTCAATATAAAACGCGAAATTTAAAGGGGAACTTGTATGTACATAGATTGAGTAATTAAACCGGACAGAAATAGCACTTCCAGCTTATCCATTTGATAGTGTGCGTTCCAGAATGCAACTTTGATTAAATGACTATAGCAATATTCAATATAAGAAGCGAAATTTAAGGGGGAACTTGTGTGTACACAGGTTGGGTAATTAAACCGGACAGAAAGATCACTTCTAGCTTATCCATTTGATCGTGTGCGTTCCAGAACGCAACTTTTATTAGATGACTATAGCAAGTTTCAATAGAATACGTGAAACTTAGGGGGGAACTTGTATGTACACAGATTGAGTAATTAAACTGGACAGAAATAGCAATTCTGGCTTATCCATTTGATCGTGTGCGTTCCAGAATGCACAAAATAATACACGAATCTTTCCAGTTGACAACTGAAGCCGAGATCAATGAGGAAATCGAGCGCTTGATGCAAAAAGATATCGAAATGATGGAAAAGATTAAAACGGAGGATACGGTAGGATACTGTAACTTTGATTTTATATATAAATTTCAGGAAGAGCCGATTGAGGAGCCGAAAATTGAGACGGTCAAGGATACGGTAGTGGAGGTGGAGGCACCAGAGGAGAAGCCGATTGTTGAGGTGATTACGGTAAATCCCCTATTTTCTAAAAGATGCTCTATGAAGCGATCTTAGATATTCATTGGATAGTGTGCGCTCCAGAATGCACAAAATACTCTTTCCTAAAGCACATAATCCATTCAATAACAGAAAAACCTTGTCCATAAAGTTTAAGCTTACGGTAACCAGAGCGAGCTTTAAAGTTTTTATTTCAGACAACTCCTCCACCGATCCAAATGCCCCGCCTCTCCTCGCTAGACATTTTGGGGAAACGAGCTGAGACTGGGGTGTGTGAATTTTAAAGAATTTTATATAGAGAAAATGGAGACATAGAGAATTTTAATTTAAAAGTTAATAAAATCTACGTATTTATCTCTTGTGAGCTCCAGATCAGCTAAAAAATTGATTAAAATGCGTAAATGATGAAGTTATTAGGAAGAAATTTCGATGGAAAGAGTTCTACCCTGAAATTTCACTTGGAAGCATTATATCCGATTTTTGCACAGATTTCTAGCCGATCTGGATGTCAACTTAGAATTTGGATATAAAATTTTAAGTCTAGGTCAGAGTTTGTCTGTCTGGTTATAGTCTACTGTCGTACTGGGTTACTGTACTTTAGTCAAACAGTAGAAAAGATAATAAAATTTACATATTTATCTCTTGTGAGCTCCAGATCAGCTAAAAAATTGATTAAAATGCGTAAATGATGAAGTTATTAGGAAGAAATTTCGATGGAAAGAGTTCTACTTAAAAATTTCACTTGGAAGCACGTTATCGAATTTTCGCACAGATTTCTAACCGATCTGGATGTCAACTTAGATTTTGAATGTAAAATTTTAAGTCTAGGTCAGAGTTTGGTCTGTCTGGTTATAGTCTACTGTCGTACTGGGTTACTGTACTTTAGTCAAACAGTAGAAAAGATAATAAAATTTAAATATTTATCTCTTGTGAGCTCCAGATCAGCTAAAAAATTGATTAAAATGGGTAAATGATGAAGTTATTAGGAAGAAATTTCGATGGAAAGAGTTCTACCCCGAAATTTCACTTGGAAGCATTATATCCGATTTTCGCACAGATTTCTAGCCGATCTGGATGTCAACTTAGATTTTGAATGTAAAATTTTAAGTCTAGGTCAGAGTTTGTCTGTCTGGTTATAGTCTACTGTCGTACTGGGTTACTGTACTTGAGCTATAGCAATGAGAAGCAAGTTTTAGAACGGACAGAGGTTTCATGGAAGATTTTAGGACCCAACACCAGCACCTGTTCAACAAGAGGACGAAAAGGTTGATATGCCAAAAGTTGAAACGATTCAACCACTCGAACCTGTGAAAGAATCCGAAATTCCGACAATTACGGTAATAAGATCTAAAATCAAGTGCTAAATCAACGTTTAGCATGATACGCCAACAATTGAGCCACCACAAGTCCCTGAGCCCCCTCCTGTACAAGTTGAGAAACCCGTTGACGTCACTCCGCCACCGGATTTACCGTCCGATGTGAGTTGGCTCGACTAAAAACTCTCTAAGGGCGGAAATGGAAATTTTGATTTTCAAAATTTCTTATCTGGATGTCACACAACATTTTAGTCACAGTAGATTTTCGAATCCAATAAATTTTATAGAAGCTGAAAGCCGTTTTCTTTACTAACCATTTTCTCGAGTTACAGTAACTCTGGGAATCTAATTTTTCTAGACTTTCTTATCTGGATAGCACACTAACTTTTGGATAAGTTAGATTTTGGATAGGATAGATTTTTGGATTACTGTAATGAAAGGCATACTGTAATTACTGTAATGCGAATAAATGCGTTTTCCTAAAATGCATCTACTTGAGAAAACTACCGTAGCAGTATTTCTAGGCGGAATCTAATGTATTAAAGGCTGAAAACTAGACTTCGGAAAACAAAACTTAACCAAAACCAAAACCAAAACCAAAACAAACCAAAACAAACCAAAACTCGGCAATATCTCGCGACTGGGAGGAGCTAGCGAAAATCTGTTTGCAAATTTGAAATCAGCATCCAAAAATCTATCCCATAGGCTATTTTTTTTGTTTCGAAATTTCGAGGTCGTGTTTTGGTTCTTTTTTCGGCCGCGAGATTTTGTGGAATGAGAAAAAGTGAAAGGCAAATTTGCATTTTACATTCAAATTTACATTTTACATTCAAATTTACATTTTACAATTTTAAATTTACATTTGAATTTATATGCAAATTGAGTTTTGGTTTGTTTTGGTGTTTTGGTTATACATTTCGAGTGTCCCCCCCCCTGTGTCCCCCTTTTGCCCCCCTAAAGTGTCCCCCTCAAAGTGTCCCCTTTTTGTCCCCCTAAAGTGTCCCCCCCCTAGACACTCGAAATGTATAGTTTTGGTTTGTTTTGGTGTTTTGGTTTGTTTTGGTCTGTTTTGGTTTGTTTTGGTTTGTTTTGGTTTGTTTTGGTCTGTTTTGGTTTGTTTTGGTTTGGTTTGTTTTGGTTTTGGTTTGTTTTGGTTTGTTTTGGTTTTGGTTTTGGTTTTGATTTTGGTTTTGTTTGCCGAACTCTATATTAAAGGCTGAAAACTCTTTTAAAATCCAGTTGTTTTCAGGAATTTTGTCATGGAGACGAATGCGGAAAGGTGAAGCCGTTGACCACCGAACAAGTACTTGAAACAATCAAAAACGATCAAAAAATCGAGAAAATCGAAGAAATACCGATTGATCCGATACAAAAGATTGCAAGAGAGGAATTACAGCAAACATTAGACCCGCCAGAAACCACAACAACCACCACAACAACAACCACAACTCTGCCAATCGAGGTACTCCAAAAATCAAAATTTTTCAAATTTCCCAATCAAAAATCTCTCTAGTGCGTTCTAGATAAGCCCAAAAGTAGTCAAGAATTGAAAATGGTAAAGCGATCGCTGAGAAATTCACGTGGACTCATAAAAGCCATAACGAGACACCATTCGCTTTAGAGCAAAATGCTACTACACGCTTTAGGGCAAAAATGTCAAAAATTTGCTAAATATTGACTTTAAACTAGTAAAACGCTGAAATATTTATTTGTTTTTGATGTGACCCGTTGTGCAAACACAAAACACGAGAGTGTATCAGCTTTTTCAACAAAAATTTCTGGCAAAAATCAATTTGATATACTTTTCTTTTGAGAGATAAAGATATTCAGCTAAATGGCTTTATATTCTTTACACGAAAGTTGACTATAAATTGAAATTGAAGAAATTTTTTTCAGGGGTGGGACAAATGCCTTTTTTTGCGCATCTGGACATTTGCGCACCTTTTTTTGCTGGAAAAGGCCTTACCGTAAATACTGTAATAGTACCCCACCCCCATAATGACGGTGCGGAGTGTTGCGTAGTCTAGCTTTGAACGAGTTTTTCTCGACACTGGTTTATGCTACAATGCTCGCTTAAATCTCAAAAAATAGCCCTGAATTTCAGCTATTTTTTGATACCAAAGACGCATTTTTTGAAAGTACAGGCGCTTTGAAAAAAATGAAATACTAAAAAACTTTTGCGACTACGCGACTGTACGAGGTGGGTGGGGTACTATTACAGTATTTACGGTAGGAAAGGCTGTAGAGCTTCAAAAATGCTCTCCGAAAAGGGAATCGTATGCTTAGATTCCGAATTTCGACAAATCAGACCTCGCTGACACGTCAAATTTCGGCTAAAAGGCAAAAATTGCGGAAAAGCGTTAAGTTGCGTATTGATTTGTCGAAATTCGGAATCTAAGCATACGATTCCCTTCGATGAAAACATTTTTGAAGCTCTACAGCCTTTCCTAAGGCCTTTTCCAGCCAAAAAAAGGTGCGCAAATGTCCAGGTGCGCCAAAAAAGGTCGCATTTGTCTCACCTCCAATTTTTCCACTTTCTCGAGCGATTGGTTTGAAAATTATCACTGTTTTACTACCGTTTCCTTTTTTCTTGTTTTCATTTTTGAGTACTTTGGTGGTTAGGAGGGGCGACTTGTATCCTGGCTTAGTTAGATCTAATTTTTTTGAGTGGCTGTATTGATACCTTTTATCTATTCTAGGGTAATCAAATGTGCTTAATAGATAAGCGACTATTTTAGCAAGTTTTTGGCAATTCTAGCCTAATGTCATGTACTTTAACCACTAAACGCTACCACAAAGCTGCTTATACTTGAAAATCAAATAAAAACGGCAATATGAAACTTGAAACATGTTGTAAATGCTCTAAAAGTATAAGCATTACCCTCGAATAGATAGATAAAAGGTATCAATGCAGCCACTCAAAAAATTAGATCTAACTAAGTCAAGATAAAAGTGACCCAAACCACCAAATTACCCATTTTTCATTCAATTACTCAATTTCCAGGATCCCCAACAACAACCCGTTCAACAAGTTGCTGATTTCGTGGACATGGAGGAGCTGGCCCGTCAAGCGACTCAGCCAGGCGTCTTGTCGAGAGGACTCTCAATGATCACGAACGTTTTTCGAGCCGTGCCTGGCTTGAGCGGATTGAGCGATGGAGGTATGATTGATTTAAGTAAAGGGGAGGTGGTAGAAACGCTAAATTTGTAAGTTTTCCATCAAGTACCACGCTTTGTCAAGCGATATTCCAAAACTAGTCGAACTGCCATTTGGTATTTCTGCTAGCACCATTAAAGTTGTTAGACTTTGTTAGAACTCCCTGGGGTTTGGGCTTGAGTCTTACCGGTACACGTGTAGTTTAGCGTGTGTCATTGACTTTAGTACTTTTTAATTACTTGTTAGCCAAGCGTTGCTTTGAGCAGCTTGAAATGCATAACTATTAATATTAAGAAGCAGAAAAAGTCGCCGATATACCAAAAGTTTAGACGATTAAACTAGGTTTTAACAAAAGTTGACACTATTTATCCTCAAAGAGGTTTAGCAACAATTGTAGATTGTGCTTATTGTTTTACCTTCCAGCTCAGTCGATTCCTTTTAGGTATTGGCATTGTTCTCAACCTCACGGTGCTGGCAATTTCGATCGTGATGTGGTTCTTCAACAATATGCTTTCAGGATCAGATCCAGGTAATATTTTCCCTCAATTCAACAATGTGGATCTTTTATAGTTGCATCGAATCTTCGAGCCGCACACGACATGGCGACGAGAAACAAAGAATTAGAGACGCTTTTGAAAGAACGAGAGAACGAGGTCAGGAAGATTTCATTGCGTTTCATGCATTGCTTTAGCTCATGCGCTTCAAACAAGCTGGTGGGAATGATGCGCATGCTCTGCAATCGTTTCGAACGGAAAATTCGAGCTTGCATGAACGAGTAAATCAACTACAAGAAAGGTGTGTACTGTGTTTTGTTTTTTTAATGATGGGTGCTAATAAAACCCCTTAATCTTACATTTTAGGCTGGCCGTTGTCGAACCCGATTTGAGGAAAGAGACGGACGCTCGAGCACATTATGAAACCGACCTTGCAAAAGAGCGAGAAGCAATGGCAATCCTTCGCAAGAATGAGGACGAGGTTTTGCTAAAGTTTATTGCTTAACCGATCTCTTCTAGTTGCGCCATCGCCTTGCTGCTAGTGAGAAACAATCGACAAAGGCCACACAAGAGCTCGAGGAACAACAAGATCGCGCCTCAAAACTTGATGCAAAGCTGAATGGTTGGGAAATGATTATAGCTTTAACTTCTTAATTTTAGAAGTACGCACTCAGAAGGAACGCCTTGACGGTGAGCTGAACAACACAAAAACGAAAGTGGAGGAACTCCGTGCCGATCTTCGACGTGTCAATGAAGAGGTACACCGAAATCTAATTCGACTTTATCGTTTTTATTTCAGCTCAGCAAGGAAACAAAAATGCGTGAGGATCTTGCGGTGCTTGAGGTCGAGTTCCGCCATATGATCGCCGAACTACAAGCAAAACTCGCCGAAGCCGCTCTACAACCGCAATCCGTTGCCGTAACAAAGAGTGTCGCTGAGAAAAAAACGACCGAGGCCAGTAGTGGTTTGTGAAGTTATCTTTTGTTTTTATTCAAAGTTTAGTTTTAGCATCTGGTAGTGGCGGTGGATCGAATGGTTGGTCGGACATCGAAGACTTTGAGGAGAACGAGGCTGAGAAAGAGCGCAAAGAAAAGGAGCGATCGGCTTCAATTACAAAGAGCTTACCAGTTACACAAATTGGAGATATTCAGGTAAGATTTAAGTGATGTTCAAACTTATTTATGCTTTAGGAAGTAGCTCGTTTGCGTGGTGAGATCAAACGTCTTGAGCTTCAAGTGGCATCAACAAAGTAAGATAAATGAACCTTTTTAAAATGAACCATGCTTTAGGAATGAGCTTGAACATGAGCTAACGCTGAAGAAAGCACTACAAGAAAAAGTTAACAGTTTGGAGGAAGCGATCAAACAAAAGGGACTCGAATTGGACAAGAGGTTAATGGCGACAATGTAAAAATAATGTGTATCGTTTTAGTGAGGTTGAACGACGACAGGCCTTCGAACAATCAACCAAATTGTTGCAAATGCTCGATGGTGCCCATTCCAAATCAAATGACTCTGAAGTTCAGGTAAGATTTAACATTAGTTTTGGTATTCATTCTTTTAGATTTCCAATTTACGCGATGAGGCTCGCAAATTGCAAGAAGAGGCTCGAATTGTGGATGATGAGCGTCGAAAGAAGGTAAGCTTTAGAGCGGCGATCGATTTAATGATGATTTAGGAACAACAACTCAAGGATGTTGAAGAGGAGCTGAAGAAATTGCGCAACGACCACCTGAAGCTTGAAACAAAGCACTTCAATTTAAGTCGAGAACATAGGAGCTTGATGGACCAACGGGTAAGCTTTGAGTTAAATTGATAATGCATTTTAAGATGTTACAACGAGTTGATAAAAAGTACAAGTTTAGATTCATTATTGTGTTCTTATTTAGGCTCTTGGTGCTGGTCCAGGCGATTTGCTGGGTGGTGGAGGATTGGGACCGTCAGGAGCCGAGCGAATGGGCGCAGGATCACGTTCTGGTGGTCTCCTCTCTGGAGTCGGCTTTGATGCTTCCGCCTGGGATGAACCACCAATGGTACAACCGCATCAAACTCATCGCATTGGAAGTTCGCCCGAAGATTTTGGTTAGTTTTGTGCTATTTTCTAGTGAGTAAATTCTAAGCACACTAAAATGATTGCAGTTTGTCCCCAATAATTAGAATTTACTCACAATCATTCTTGGTTGAATGCTGATCTACATTGTCGTTTAAAGATTTGCTTCCAGAAGCCGGAATGCCACAAATTCGTCGATCTTCGCGCTCGAGACGATCGGAGAGACGCCAATCGCCCTCTGATGCCGAGGGACACCGACGCAGTCATCAGCCAGTCTATCAAAAGGAGCCGAATTCACCGGGTAGACTATTACTGTAGTTATTCTAGAATACTCTGATCTCTGGCAGGGATGGTAACATTCATAAAGCCCTTTTATAAATTGCTTTCTTTAGGCCATCGAAGGCGCTCTCGCTCTCAAGGACGACAGCCGTATATGGGCTACAATGATTACGGATTGTTCAACACGGCTCCACAACGGGGACCTCTGCTTCCTAATAGGTAAAAGTTAAAGGTCTTGCTTTGATTACGTATTCATAGGCCTGGCTCACACACTGGCGGTTCGGTGGGGATGGGCGGTCATATGTACTACTCTTCTGGTGGATCAAATTCGGGTCGTTCTCCGCCTCCGGAGATGATTGCGCACTCGGCGGTGCCGCCTGTTGGCCTGCACAAGCCGAAGGGAACTCGAGCTGTTGGTGAGTGATTGGGTTTCTTTAAGAGTATTGTAAAAGCATGGCCAACTGCCTCAATACCGTATGAACATTCAACAACAATCATTTTTGATTTAGATCTGAATGCTGCCTTCAAATAATCACTTCAAGATGAATCACCAAATCAATAAACACAAAAGTTTTCCCTTTCGGCTATCTTGTTATAGAACTTAATAAACTCCCTTTTGTTACGAGTTCCCAAACTTTCTGTTTTCTATCCCGTTTAATCAGTGCCTCTCTTGTAGCTTGTGATTATCCCCCTTTAATATTGATTCATTTGCATGGTGTTATATGTACTTTTCGGTGGTGAACGTGTGCGTAAATTTAGTGTTGTGAGCCAATCCGAATGGCACAGGTCTTTCTTTTCATTCTTTTCCTCCCTACATCATCTGTTAATTGAGCGAATCTGTATTTATTTGTGGTTATAGTTCATAAAATTTTGAGTAAAAGAAGTTTAGTTTCTAATCGACACAAAAAGCGAGCTTTCTAGAAACAAACACCGGTGCCTACTACATTTTGGGACAAAATTATAGTGACCTGTAAGAAATATATATTTATACTTTGATCTTTATAATTTCTTGTGAGACCGTGTCTCGGTGTAGTTTAATGGTAGATGTCTTGAAAAAGCATAATTTATCAAAACTTTCCCTTACTAGGGCAAATTTCGCTTAAACTGGAGCAACCTGGCACTATCATAATTACTTCAACAATAGCGTGTGAAAAAAAGGATGAATAGAAAAAGGAGCCCACACTGACTCAAGGCAAAGCTTAAATAATGGGTTTTTAAGTACACAAGCTACGACAAACGGACAACTCAATATCGTCTAGTGGCTGATTACGGTAGTTTATCCATCAGCTTTAAAGTTTAACTTTGTGTATTGAATTTTTGACTAACTGCAGAGCAGTGGCAATTCGTCACAATCCCAAAAACTCCGTGGAGAAAAGCAAAATTTGTTTCCGTGGCTGCAGTTGCGAAGGAAATAGCTGCGTTTAGCTGTTGAAATAGTGGTACTGTTATTAAACGTCATGCCATTAGGCTTGTAAAGGCTTCTCTCTGCCAACCCAGGAGCACATGCTATGCACCTATCGAATTTCTAATAGAAGCACGAGTTCTAATGGAAACACGAGCACGACCCGAATTCTCGTAGTTGTTGATTGAATTGGAATAGAATGACTCTTCCAATAAAGCTGTATCTGTTAGATATTATTATCCCTTTGGAAACAGTCGTTGTGGAAGATGGGTCCCTGATCAACTCAGTGATGCTAACCTCGCAGCCCGCATTTCCATCGCTGGCATTCTCCTGAATCGTGCAAAAATAGCGGATTTCTTGATTCTATCTATATATTGCAAATGGATTGCATACGACAACTTTACGCGAGAACGACAGTGGCTGAGCGCCGGCGAACGTGCTGCTCCAACCCCAAAGCCCGAAATCCACGCGAAGAAGATCTTATCTTTGATATTATGTTATGTTTTACCGTCAAATCGGCAGTTTCTTTTGCACCACCCTAATAGAAGCATGAGCACGACCCGAATTCTCGTAGTTGGTTGATTGAGTGAAATAGATTGAGTGAAATAATAGGTTGATGCATAAGTCTTTTCGTTTTTTTCGTACTTCTGTTAAAAAGTAACAAATGCACCAATTAATCTTTAGTTTGCTCTATAAAAAAAGTGTTTTTTTTTTTTTTGTTCAATTTGCATCTTTTTAAATGAATTTCGGTTCACTTTCAAGCAAATTTACCGTAAATACTGTAATAGTACCCCACCGCCCTCGTACAGTCGCGTAGTCGCAAAAGTTTTTTAGTATTTCATTTTTTCCAAAGCGCCCGTACTTTCAAAAAATGCGTCTTTGGTATCAAAAATAGCTGAAATTCAGGGCTATTTTTTGATACCAAAGCGCACATTGTAGCATAAACCAGTGTCGAGAAAAACTCGTTTAAAGCTCGACTACGCAAAACTCCACACCGTCATTATGGGGGTGGGGTACTATTACAGTATTTACGGTAGGTGTCCACATCTCTCCCCCTTTTAATTTCACTAAACATATTGAAATCATTTGTCGAAAAGCTTCTTTTGTTTCTAGCCGTATTCTCAAATCAATTGTTCATCCTAACCTAAACTCTTACCGCAAATGCTTGACGACTTATATCCGGCCCATCTTCGAATATGCTTCTATTGTTTGGTCTCCCCGCGCACAAGTCTTTATTGAACGCTTGGAGAAAATTCAGAGGAGGTTCACAAAAGTCGCTTTATGGAAAATTGACTATTCTAAATATTCTAGCTTTACTTATGAAGAGAGACTTGCTTTTTTTGAACTAAAAACTTTACAGCATCGTCGCTTTGTCATTGATTTAGTTGAAACTTTCAAAATCCTCCGTTGTAAACAGATTAGCCCTTTGTTTATAGACTTTTTCAAATTTAAACCGCGGTCAGGGCCCAGAAGTGGCTCATTCCTTTTGCAAATTCCCTTTGCTTCCAATGCCTCTTTATCAAATTCATTTCCCGTTAGAGCCGCTAGATTATGGAACTTGCTCCCAAACGACATACGAGAAATTCAGTCGCTTTTCATATTCAAGAAACGTATCGATGCTTTAGATCTAGTGGCTCTTTGCCGTAAGTAATTGGCTTATTGATTTCAGTATGTATTGTATGATTAAGTATCACTGTGCATTTCTCTATCATTTCTTTCACTTTATCGTTTGAATAAAGTATTATTATTCACATAATAAATTCAATTTCAATGAGTTTGGTCTCCCCGCGCACAAGTCTTTATTGAACGCTTGGAGAAAATTCAGAGGAGGTTCACAAAAGTCGCTTTATGGAAAAGATGGAGATTTTCAAGATGGAGATTTTATTTTTAGATAATGCAATAGATCATTAAGCTAATCTATTAGGTTGATGCATAAGTCTTTTCGTTTTTTTCGTACTTCTGTTAAAAAGTAACAAATGCACCAAATGAACAACGGTTTATTGCATTCGAAAGGCCAATTATTTTTCTACAAAATGACATTAAAACGAGTTTAAAATCTCTAGATTTTTTTGAGAGCCTGAAGTCGGGTAGTCAAAAAAGGCGACGGCTCGATGATGCATTTTAGACGCTTTAGCTAAGGAAACCAATCTTGATGTTAATAAATAAAAGATAGAGCACAAAAAGTTCGATATTTTTTTCAGATTTTCAGAGAAATTGATTCAGCCAATTTCTTTATAGAGGTTTTTATAGATTTTTATGATTAAACCCGTTTTCAATTTCGAATTTGCTTGAAAGTGAACCCAAATTGACTTAAAAAGATGGGAAATTCAACAATAAACACTTTTCATTTAGAGTAAACCATAGGTTAATTGATGACTTTGTTATTTTTCAAAAGAAGTACGAAAAAAATGAAAAAGACTTTTGCATCAACCTAATAGAAATTAGCATCCCAAAATATGACATGATCTCAGTTTTATGCTTTGTTTATTTGCTAGATTTGGTCAGAGAACTGTCTCTTTGTCGAGTCCGAAAGGTGGCTCAATTTTGAAGCTGGTACAAAGGAAATGTGGATAATCCAATCGAAATAGATTGACTGGAATAGATTGAGTAATATTTTTCATAATTATCCGACTCATAAATGATTTATTAACAAAAATAACATAAATAGTTAGAAAATATGTTTAATTGATTATTCTGGAGCATATTCACCGCCTACATCAATAACCGATTGCCATTTGCTTGGAAGACGTCGATTCCACGAGCGAGATAACGATCTTTGGAGGCAATCCACGCTTTACATCGTCTATCAAGTCATCCAATCGTTGTGTCTTATTTGTTTGCCAATTTTTGAGCGTCGATTACGTGGTAGTCCGTTGGGGCTTCTCCAGTTCTTTGAGATCGCGAAACGACTCTGCGGCAGACCATCCCTTTTCGAAGTCGTAGAGCATGATATGGCGAAGATGGATATGATTGTCGACACGCATTTTGTTCACTAAAGAATAACGAATATTTAAAAAAAGAATAGACAAAGCTTTCAAAACAAAAGATACAAGCACGCAAAAGAAGTCCGGATAATTATGCATCACCCAATAGATTGGTGAATAGATTGAGTGATGTTGAGTGATAGTTGCTGGTAGTTGCTGGAATAGATTGACTGGAATAGATTGACTGGAATAGATTGACTGGAATAGATTGACTGGAATAGATTGACTGGAATAGATTGACTCTTCCAATGAAGCTGTATCTGTTAGATATTATTATCCCTTTACAAATAAAGCCAACCTTGAAAAAGTTCTTCTCAAAATGATCCTCAAAAAAAACCCCTTCATCACGCCTAAAAATACCCACAAATTATAGTGTTCGAAAGTTGAAAATTTCTTCATTTCCACACGACTACATCGATTATCTCAACTTTTTTTTAAATTTCCTTCTTAATTTCATTTTCTAATCCCTTTTCTGATTGAAGTTTACAAATTTCCGCAAATTCTAATTCCTGATTACTTTTTTGGTCGCCGAGAATTGAGTTATTCGTAATAAATCAACGAACGAAGCGAATTTCTCAGCAATTTTTAAGCTTCCCCCATTTTTTTCATTCTTTTTCTTCTAAGCTGGAACGCACAGATGACAACTGTCACTCTATCTTTTTGGAATTTTGGAGATTTATTTTCGACTACCCCTACAGTACCTACGACTACAGTAACCGACTATGAAACGACTGAGTATTACGATTACGCCTACTATAGCAGTTTATCGTGCTATAATTGGAGTGGATTTTATTGGGAAACTGATTATGGAGTGAGCTATACTTGGGACGGATTGCCGGTCAAGTCGACGGTCAATGATGAGGTGAATGCGCCGATTGCTGGATCGATGATTTTGGTTGGTTTTTAGGTTGAGAATTCTAAAGTGCGTTCCAGATAAGAGGAAACTGAAGAAAAAAGTTGCTCAGGGTAGTACCAGAGAAAAGTTAGAGTGTTGAACAGTTTCAGCGCAACTCGAGTGTTGAGAAATGGGTTTTCCTGACTTTTTAGTATCCGAAATTCTAAAGTGCGCTCCAGATAGAAGGAAAATGAAAGTGAAAAGTTTTAGTTCGGCATTTTCGGGCTTCTATTGAACTCGTACTGTGC